TAAAGCGAGCTTACCTCCAAGCAGGAAGCCATCAGGTTATGTGAGACCCCAGTTTGCGAAGAGGTTTAAATGAATTGATTTGGCCACCTATATCACCAAAGTGAACTTATCTTTTCGGTCATAGGTCCTGAGAGAACTCCACAGTTAAGCGTGTATATGCTGTAGTAGTCTTAGGATGGGTGACCTTCCGAGAAGTGGGACAAAACACAGGGAAAGTCATATGGTGATTTTTAGGGTCGGTAAACAAGTTTTTAAGCCTCCTTGACGTAACAAACCGACCATCGGATATAGATGGGCTCACGGGCCTAGAGGCAGGACGTGAAGCCCATTAAGAGAGGTGGGCCGTGGACTGGGAGTGAACATAGAGCCCACTGGAAAGGTGATGGTCGGGGGTTACAGTTGATCCCTACAATAGTTATTAGTCTTCTTTTGGTTTGCTCCCATCCTGTGATATAACAAGTTGCAGTTGTAGAGTAGAGAGCTATCGCTGCACCCATGCTGATACCTCCTAGTCCTACCATGACTATCAAAAACCAATTGGATTAATAGATTTGATATATAAAGTTTGATGCATTTAAACTATAAAACTAGGCTTGTTATGTATAGATGATGATTATGGATTACCATTGCCTGGTTAAGCATTTAGAAGGTTACCATCAAACGCAGCTGTAGAATTGAAAGAAACCAGATCGTCTTCCATGTTCTCAGAAATTTCCGTGACAATGCACCTTAAGTCATCTACAAGATTTTATATACAATGTTATTAGTTTTTAATTAGAATTTTAGAAGACATTAAAAAGAACTAGTGTCTTTCAGAAGATTCCAAATAAATATATCTTACGAGAAGTAGTTTGGTTTCCATCCAAGAAAGTATGGGGACGTGTTGGAGCAGTCGGACAAATCCATGTTACATATGCATAAAAATCATAACTTCTAATTAGAAACTTTTGTTTGGCTAAAATATATATTTAGATTTATGGCAAAATTAACATGTGCATCGATTTATACATTTAGAAGATTCAATTTACGTACAAACATAGCTGACATACATGCAGAAAGAATAGACATATAGAGTGAGAGACACACTTGAAGTACAGAAATGAACAAGACCGATTTAACGTATATACATGCAAGTTTTGTAAAGTAAGCTCATACGAAATGAAATTTAATACAAAAATCTTTTTCGAAAAAAATTATTATGTACAATACTTCAAACAAAATCAAATCATATCCTAAAATTTGTCAAACATGCTATATTAAACTTAAAAAAAAAAAAAACTTTTCAGTTCCACGCATGTTTCTTCCAAAAAAAAACTTAAATGTTAGAAAATTTTCAGAACGTGTTTATAAGTTACTCTGTTACTAGAATACGTTACCTGCTTCAAACTTTTCTTTAAACGGAATTGGTTACTTTGATACTTGAAAACAACAAACCATATTATAATAAAAAGTAAAGTATGTTGGTCATTATGGCCGATGTCATGAAGCCAGACTATAGTTGCCTTGTGAATTCTTGTCGGTGAAACTATTGTAGTGTCTCCACAAGCAGTGCTACTACCTGTACATATTGTAAAATTTTAGTTATCAATTCCAAACAGAGATATAACTACAGGAAAAATATCATGAACATTCAACAATTAAAGAAAATACATACTAGAAGCCATGTTTTGATGTCATTTCTTTCGAAATTTTTTGGATTGGACTAGTTACAGATGGAGATTTGAAGGGGAAGGTTTTGTGTATTTATAATCAAATTAGGAGTATTCAGAAATAAATTCTTCTCAATTAAAGTTGGGTGCATTTCAAAAAAAAAAAACTTGGTATTGAAAATCGGATATGCAAGAAAAAAATATTACTAATCAAAGTTTGATCTTCTTATTATGATGGTCGGATCTAGAATATTGTGTTTTTGGGGATATAATTTAATTGAGAACATAATAAAATGTGACTAGAAACCCAGCCCTACGAAGAAACATGAATAATGACAACACGTAAACAAGAACAAACCAGAAGCCACATTTTTCTTTTCAATCAACGAATTAGACCAATAGGAAAAACCACAGCGGAAACCAAAACAATCATGTAGACCTTCCTAATCAAGTACTAACATGCATTTATCAGAACCAACAAACACAAAGCAATCAATACTCAATTGTTACCTTATCTAACACCAATTCCAGCAAGATTGAAGTACACGATGAATTACCTCTCTTTATTTGTGAAAAGGTAGCATAATTCTGATGGAGATTGGCGAGAACGACATACAACAGTAAACTCTCTTGTTTTACAAACAAAAATACAATAACTTCAGCTTCACAAAATGATGCTTAATTAAACAAGAAACAGATCCAAGTACAACCGATTACACAAGTATTTAACAAAATTCATAGAACCCTAATCCTTTAAACCATATAATTCATTTCAAAAATTTTAGAACCAAGTACAACCGATTACACAAACGATTACCAAAATCCATAAAACCCTAATCCGTTTACACCATATAATTCAAACAATCAAAATGAGAAACTTACCATGAGAAACCACCGCTTTACCACTGTCGCCTTTGACACTCGCTGTCGTTTAGATTTGGTGTAGGAAACTCTCGATTTCAAAGATAAAAAATCGCCACTTCACCACCATCATCTTTGAGACTCGCCGCTATTTAGGTGATCTATCAACCGCCGATAAATTCAAAATTGAATCGATCTCCTCCGATTTTGAGACTAATGTCTCCGAATTTTACAATCAACCAGAGGAAGAGAATCGTGATAGAGAGAGAGAGACAGGGGAAGAGAAAGCAGTTTTCTTCGGGCCGATGTTTTTTTAATAAAAGCTGACTCTTATTTATTATGAGACCTTGGTTTGCGGAGAGGATTAAATGAATTGATGTGGCCACATTTGTTACCAAAGTCCACTTATCTTTTAGGTCAAGGGTCCTCAGAGGACTCCAGAGTTAAGCGTTCCTATGCTGCAGTAGTCCTAGGATGGGTGAGTTTCTCGAGAGTCTATGGGAAGTGGTTGTCGAAACTATGTGAGTGAGGCCAAAACACAGGGAAAGATCATGTGGTGATTTGTATGATCGGTAAACAAGTATTTAAGCCTAGCCGACGTAGCAAATCGGCCGTCGGATATGGATGGGCTCATGGGCCTAGTGAGAGGACGTAAGGTCCATTAAGATAAGTAGACCCATGGACCCAAACAAGTCCAGCATGCACCCGATCGAGCTCCCCTCAAACCGACTTTGTAATTTGTGTTTTTGCGTTTTAGGGCTTCCATTACTTTGTATAAATAGAGACCTTGTGTCATTAAGAAAAAAAATCGAGTTTCATTAGGGTTTTTCTCTGTAGCCACCAAACATTTTCAGAAACTTGTAATCTTAATATATTTTGATCTATTGAGTTTCTACTGTTGCTTCTTTATATTATTTTGCTCCTTAGATCATTATATATCTAGTTATGCATGAATTAGAGATTTCTGGGTTTGTGTTCTTGGTGATGAAATCCAGATCTGAGTAGTTTTCTAGGGTTTTGAGGATGGGATAGGTTAGTGAAGAATCTTAGTCTCTATGGGTGTTTAAGCTTAGATTTCAATAGATCCCTTCTGGATTAGGAGATTTCATAGCTAGTTTTTGCATTAACCATGTGGGATTAGATCTTAGACATTCCAGCACCCAAAAAGTGTTTAATGGAATGTTTGATCCACTAATGCCAGAGATTTACTTTCTTACCTAAGAGATTGGTTGTTTAAGGAGTAGATTGAAATTAATGAGCTTGATCTTTATGCATGTCTATTGCATGTTTCATCAATGAGAATTGAGATTAAGAAGTGCTTTAGATTTGATAATCTTTGCCAAGAGATTGGACTAATTAGCTTAAGTGGTTCAATGTCTAGGATTACATCTATTTGAGCATGTTAAGCACTCCAATGAGATTAAGAGGACTCATTAACCCATTAATTCCATCCTAGAGAAATGTATTCCTCTGATTGTTAATTTGCTTTTCTTAGCTGCTTTAGTCTTGCTTCTGTAGTTCTTAGATCCTTAGCTTGTCTTTAGTACCGTTCTTAGATCCTTAGTTTCATTATGTCATTTACTTTTATGCATTTGAGTTGATGATCCAACTGATTAATTGATTGGCTTGACTTGATTAGTTCTGTTATATCTTGATTGCTTGCATTACACCCATTTGGATCGATTAAGCCCTTTGTACTGCAATGCACTGGGGTAATTAAACTCCAAAGGATACAAAAAGTCCTTGTTTCAATTTGGCGCCGCTGCCATTTAGGTGTTTGTTTGTTCCAATTAGGATTACAGCACTTTCAAGATTAAGTTCTTTTACTTCAATCACTAATTTGCTTGTTTGTCTGTTTTTCTTTCTGGGTTTCAAGTACACACTCGACCGAGCTACAACTTGCCCACTCGACCAAGCTACAGTTAGCACACTCGACCGAGTCAACAACCACCCGATCGAGCCTGTAATCGTGTTACATATTGAGTCTTCTTGAAGCTTTGCATGCAAACGAGATCAAAGGGTAATCAACACCTGCTTTATTATCTCAACAACATTGACCGCTTGCTTAGACAACTCCGTAACTAACGCGTTCAAACAAGCATAGACCAGCAACAAGTGGAGATGGAACCTCCACCGAGAGCACCTACACTCATTGGAGCTGGTGATGCTCCTCGCAATCACACTGCTCGTCAAGGGATCGTGCCTCCAGCTGTCCAAAATAATAACTTTGAAATTAAGAGCAGTTTAATCTCTATGATTCAAGGAAACGAGTTTCATGGGCTTTCTGTGGAAGACCCTTTGGACCACGTCGACGAATTTGATAGGCTGTGTGGTCTGACTAAGATCCCAGGTGTTAGTGAAGATGGGTTCAAATTCAGACTATTCCTATTCTCCCTTGGAAAAAAAGCTCATCAATGGGAGAAGTCACTGCCCGCGGGATCTATTACAACCTGGGAAGAGTGCAAGTTTTTCTCCAACGCACGAACAACTCATCTTCGGAATGAGATATCCAGCTTTGCTCAGAAGAACAACGAGACATTTTGTGAGGCTTGGGAGCAATTCAAGGGATATCAAGAAGATAGACTTGATCTTGAGGGTTGGAAACATTGGTGCTTCTATAAGACATATTCGGGTTGTTTTTATAGTTGTTGTAGCCCTTTTGGTAACCTCCTTGATTCTGAATATAGCTTACCTCCTCAGTATTGTCATAATCGACCTTAATGAGGTTGAAAGGTCTCCTCCTCTTGAACAAAATGAACACTCTTCTGCTGGTTCATCAAGAACTTATCGAGCTTGTTGTTAAGTGCCTTCATATCCTTCTTATACTTGTCTTCTTGGTCAATATTCCCACGAACGGTTCTATCGTAGTCCTCGTTGTATGTTCAATCTGCCTGAGCTAGATTCTCCACGAGTTCCCAATGATACTAGGATTTTACTACCAATTACCCTAGAGTACTATCAGGTCATTGCAGTACAACATGTATCAGTCCAATCTGGTGTGATGCTAGCAATCAAGATGTATCAGAAATGATTAAGTCAAGCGAAGTATAAATGATTTTTGGTTTTCAATGATCCTAAGCGAACATGTTAAACATGTGATAACTTCATATTTCTACTCTTTTAAGCATATGTTTTGTTCATTGTTTGCATGTTTAAAGTCTTGTTTATACTAAGTATCAGCCATTTTCCATTATATTTCACATTTAGGATTTTTAGCATAGACATGTGCATATCATTTGCATTTTAGAGTAAAAACCGGCACACTTGGACATTTCAGAGCATGGACCCGATCGAGCGTATCCGGCCCGACCAGGGTGAGCACGATCAAGCACCCGGACCTGGAGGAGGAAGCTGGACTCGGACGAGCCAAGAGAGGACCCGAACGAGCCCAACATGAACCCGACCGAGCTCTTTTCAAACCGACTTTGTAATTTGTCTTTTTCTGTTTTAGGGCTTCCTGCACTTAGTATAAATAGAGACCTTGGGTCATTAAGCCAAAAATCGAGTTTTCGTTAGGGTTTTTTCTCTGTAGCTACCAAACATTTCGAGGAACTTGTAATCTTAATATCTTTTGATCTATTGAGTTTTTAGTGTTGCTTCTTTATATTAGTTTGCTCCTTAGATTATTATATATCTAGTTATGCAAGATTCAAAGATTTTTGGGTTTATGTTCTTCATGATGAATTCCAGATCTAAGTAGTTTTCTAGGTTTAGAGGATGGGTTAGGTGATAAGGAATCTTAGTTTCTAGGGATGCTTAAGTATATATTCAGGTAGATACCTTATGGATTAGTTGATTTTAAAGTTATTATTTGCATTAACCATGTGGGATTAGATCTTAGACATTCCAGCACTCAAAAAGTGTTCAATGGAATGTCTGATCCACTAATGTCAGAGATCTATTTACTTACCCAAGAGATTGGCTGTTAAGGAGTAGATTGACATTAATGAGCTTGTTCTTTATGCATATCTACTCCATGTTTCATCAATGAAAGTTGAGATTAGGAAGTGCTTTAGATTTGATAATCTTTGCCAAGAAATTGGACTGATTAGGTTAAGTGGTTCATTGTCTGGGATTAGATTTATTTGAGCATGTTTAGCATCCCCAAGAGTTTAAGAAGATTCATCACCCGATTAGCCCATCCTTAAGACCCTTGTTTATCTGATTGTTTACCTGCTTTCATTTCTGCTTTCAATATTGCTTTTGTAGTTCTTGCATTCTTAGTTTCGTTCAGTAGTTCTCTTAGATCCTTTAGTTGATCTTCTGTACTGTTCTTAGATCTTTTAGTTTATCATTCTGTAGTTTACTTTTATGCATTAGAATTCTTAAAACCAAACTTTCAACTGATTGGCTTGACTTGATAAGTTATGTTATATCTTGCTTGTTTACAACACACCCATTTGGATCGATTAACCTCATGTACTACATTGCACTGGGGAATTGAACTCCAAGACCACAAAAACCCTTGTTTCATTTACTCTTCGTCCTCCATCTCAAAATGAAGTTGATGTGTAGAATTTTATTTTCTTGTCGTTTCAAGTTCATGACACGTATTAAGACGACCTACCAAAACTACATGCATTGAATATATTGAAGATATTAAACTTAATATATTCAATTTGGATGGCAATTAAACCACAATTGATTTTTCTTACCAAAAAAAAAGTTTCGATCTTTGCTGCAACTTTTAACTTTCTCAAACTCACAAAACTTAGTTAATCCCATGCAACTAAAGATGTTGTCATGGTAGCAAAAGAATTATTATTATCATGAATTGCAATTCGATGTGGCGTTGGCCTAAAAACACCGATGAAAAGAGTCGTAAGAGTTAGAGAAGATAATCTGATTCCTTTAAATGAGGATTGTTGAATAGCGTTGAACCAAAACGTTTGTCATTATTACGAACGTTTCCCTGCATATACACGAAGTGGGGTTAGAGGTATATTCTTATTAAATAACGATATTAAAATTATGGAATGTTTGTTTACCTTAGCATCAACTAATATCAGTTCGACAACTTCATTTAATCGTGCAAAACAGACGAACCTCCTGATACTTTTAACCTTGATTTTCCTCTGGAGCACATAAGGATTTAAGTCTCCTAAAACAGCACAATTACCTTCTTTCTTGGATCATGTCTTCAATAATTATAGAGGGCAACACACTCGTAGACATTATTATCTAGAAAGCAGAAATCCGTAAAATGAGAACAAATAAGTGTAAAAGAAAACGTTTTTTCATCAACATACCACAACAGCTGTTTCATCTACTTCAAAAAAACCAGATTTACTCTCTTATTTGAAAATCGGTTTGGCTACAACTACTGCAATTTCAAGCTTCTTCATATAATCCCCCATTCCTTAGTTTTCCCACTCTCGCTTCTTTGGTCCATCTTTGGACTTATCCAAAATTAGGAACTTCATCAAAATAAAAATTAGGATTCTTAGACTTAACGAAAGAAACGAACTCATGACCAGAATATAACGAAGAGCTTATGACATGTATCTCTGGATTTTCATCTTCTTCATCTTTTACTCTTTTTCCAAGCTTTTCATGGTGGCATGTTCTTTGATTTGGAAGGTATTAGTTCCCCAAATCTTTCTCAAGAAATCGAAAAAACTCTTGTCATAAGCTTTTGGAAACATAATATAATCTTCTTCAGTTATTCCGTTTTCAAGAGACTTCATCAAACTTTCTCTTCAAGTTCCAGACTTTGGAGCGGATCATTTGTAAGTTTGTAACATAAAAAGTAATGGATTTTCTTACATATTTATCAAATGCATTAATATTCTCAGTAGAACTTCCATTCTTGGTGGTGAAGTTACTGATTCCTTTAATTAAAACAACTTCATCTTTCACGCTGAAGATGGCTTTTTATCGTTCTTCACATCTTTACTCTATTTTTGCCAATGGGCGCTGCAACTTTGAGCTCTTGGGCAGTGTCACTACTTGATTTGTCTTGGTAATTGTCTTGGAACCAGAAGACATGCTCACAATACTTGTTTTCCCCAATGTATCGAAAGACATGTCTATCTTTGGTGCCACAACATGTTGGGTTCCTCATAGAAAGAATATTCAGATTCCTCATCACCGAAAGAATCCGATTTGGTAAGAGCAGACTCATCCTTTTCTTCAGAGGAAGACATCATGGGAGTAATCTCTTTTGTTTTGGCTTTTGGAGATAATAAATCACCATACTACAAAAACTTAACCAATCTGATCTTGTTAACTTCAAATTGACATAAGGAGATTCCAAACCATTGAGTGTAACAACAATGTGCTAAAGAGTAACATAATCATTGAGCTTTATTTTGAATTTGTAATTAACATAATGAAAGAAACGATGGATTAGAGGTACCGCTTTCTACTACTGATCCTCGACTGATCTCACTAAGGACACAATCCCTTCTTTTCATTTCCTTCCCTTCTTCATTCTCTCTATCCATAAACCTCTTCACCACGTCCTTGATTTCCTCTCTCAATTTTTTTTTTTGACAACAAATCGAGAAGATTGACTTTAAGAAAGCCAATGAAAGGGATAGTTGTTAACAAACTTAGCAGCATACGGTAAGACTCGCACTCTATGAGCCAAATTATCCGCAACTCCATTTGCACTTATGGGTATGAGAGAAAGAGAAAAAGTTGAGAATTCTTCCCTGTCAGTCTTGATATCGTTCAGGTACGCAGAGAATGCCGGCCACTATGACGGAGAAGACACCATCTTCACCAAATCGGAACAGTCCGTTCGAAAAACAACAACTCTATAATCATGGCCAATCATACATCTCATTGCCCACATCAAAGCCTCCAGTTCGGAATGAAGAGGAGAGAGGTTTCGTCGGAAGTTTGAGGCCCCCAACACCGTGGATCCATCACGAGCTCGCTGACAACACCATCCTATACCTGAAAACTTATCCGTATCTTTCCAAGATGCATCGACATATCATCTATAACCAAGGGCTAAAGGCATAATATTTGGAACCCGAGCGGTTACCCGCATTCCATCACCCCGGGCTTCCATTGCCTCCGTTATCCCCCACTTGTGCCTCCTGCCAAGCATTTGCTTCATCTTGTGCTCGTCTAGTAACCTCCAACGAACATTTATCCACATTCTCAAACATTTTTGCATTTCTAGCTTTCCAAATGTACCATAATAACCAAGGGTAGAACGCAAAATGCGCATCTGCATTCGACAAACTATGAAGATAATCCATATTTGCAAATGGACTCGGTGGGGAATTGATTAGGTCACACTGGCACTTGGGCTAACGCCCAAGATTGGCGAGCCGGGGGACATTCAAAAATAGCATGATTGACCGATTCCTCCTGGTTACCGCACCGACTACATGTTTGCTCACAATTAATCCCACGTCTCTGTAAATTCGCTGAGACAGACATACAACATGTAAGTAATTGCCACATAAAATGTTGTATCTTAGGTGGATAACGTATTTTCCAAATTCTTGCTACTAAGCTGATTATATCAGGACCATATACCGGCGTAAATGAAATTTTTGGATCACGCATTCGTGCTGTATAATAACCAGATTTAACCTAATACTTCCCGGTTGATAAGTCTGTATTTCATCACTTTCTGAGC